GGGGAATTCTGGGAGTTGAAGTCCACTCATCTTAAAGTGGCCAAGTTTGGACAACGCTGGTATAAGGAGATTATGAGAATGCAAGTCCAAGCCATTTGGCAGATATTGGATTGAAGAAGGCAAGAACAATGAAATAAATAATGCCCCTTGGTAGTAAGACTTCACCTCATCTGGTAGATCTGCAGAGATCTCGTCATCAAGCACCCTAAAAAAGAAACAATATATAGACACTTAGAAGACAGAGGAAAAATTCTACTTCTATTGCCTTCTACTCAGAGATAGACCTAACTGAGGTCTGTTGTGCTACTAGGCACCCAGCAGCTTCCTTTTCCTCCAAGGGAACTCTCGTTACCCCAGGAGATTTCCAGATAGAAGGCACAAAAACCTAAAGGTTACTCTGGAACAAACCCATAATATTAGAGAAGCTCACAGAACATGGACTCACTCTGTGTCTGACTGTTTCTCTGTGAAGACACGCAGGATGAAGTCTCCTTCTTTGTTAGGCTCAAAGGTAGAGGGAACTACGATGTATTCACCAGGTGGTAGGCGGATGTGATTACTCACTTCCCGCAAGTTGATAAAGGTCTCTGAGCGTGCTCGAGATTGGTTCCTTAGAAAGAAGTCCTTCTTCAGATGAACGCTTTGGCAGCCCTGGGACTGGGAGAGAAGCAATTCAGGTATTCTATACAGCTGTTCAATTGTCAAGGAACCATCATATATGCATGTGTGTGTACACATACTCACACACAAGGCAAAAGAATAAAGGAGAAGATACAAGTCAAAACACTTTTCTTGAAATAAAAAATGTACATACACACCCACACAATTAATTTTTTTATATAGGCAGGCTTCTATACCCCATTAGTAGCAACTGACTCCTTTAGGTTTCAGAAGATATATAGCACTGAGTATCTAACCCATGCTGTAGCCATCAAAGTAATTGTGGACAAATTGCGATGGTTTCAAATATGAGGAAAGCACACTTTTCAAATGCTGCGTGGAATAATTATGACAACTATCTATATCTCAACCCATTTCAGTCAGCTGTTTTCCACCTTCACAAACAGTTCAGATAATGGATTGGGGTAGCTCAGGGTATACCTCTTCAGGAACCTGTAGGGTGGGGGGAAGAGAGAGAAAAAGAGAAAGATTAGGAACAAATTTTTGTAAATTTTGCTGCAGAAAAGGGAGACCAGAAAACCATCTGGTGTTACCTCATAGACAGCAAAGCCAATGGTGTGCATGTCTCCTCCGACGTGGCGCTCTTTTCTTCGATGTTTTTGCATCAGGGCCACTAAGAAGCTGCAAGCCACTTCATCATCCTCGGGGTCATCATCTTCTTCTAAAAGCTTGATTTTGAACTGTGGATTAATCCAAAATGTAGCTGCGAGAGGAATGGATAAGTATAGTCATTCTCAGCACCACAACTCAGATGACATCATTAGAAATGAATAACATCCAGGAAGAAGCCAGGTCAAGGTATAAAAAGTAACAGAGAGCTGACTTTCAGATTTCTATCCTCTTAATAGGGAAGAGGGGATTGCTGTACATCATGATGGTGCCCGTTTTTAATCTAATTAAATATTATATACTATATGTGATACAGTATATAGTAATCAAGACTGAGACAGAGAAGACAGTGGAGTAAGCAGAGAAATTCTGTATTACCTGGATGGTTTCTGCAGCCTCCAGCTGTACTGCCCCGTCGCCAGGTCCCCTCAAATAATGTAGTGTGCCATTTCTTTGTCTCATCCTTTGTCAGAACATCTGGGGTGAGATTACAGATCTCAAGTCTAGAAAACTCACGCATAAAGTCTCGAAAAGACATCCTGAAGGAACAAAAGACATAGTGAGAACAATATCAAAAGCAGATATGATGGTCTCAGTGCCGCCTTACACCAGAAGAAAATAATCAGAACCACCACTCTTAAGACTGTAAGAATAGTCCTGCTGGACCAGGTCAAAGCCTGTCCATCATTTTCTTTTTTGCACTAGCCAGCCAGGTGCCTCCAGGGTACTTGCAAGCAGGAAATGGAAACACAATCTCTTTCAACGTTGCTCCCCTGCAACTGGTTTTGGGAAGCTTATTACAGGATACTTGCATGCAATGTGAAGAAGTATTTCTTTTATCTATTATAAATTTCCTTCCAGGCAGATACCTGGTTTCACTGAAAAACTACTCCCTGCTTATTTTTTCCACGCCACATGTGATTTTGTACACCTTGATCATGTTGCCTTTATTCCAAGCTAAAGAATTTTAAGCATTCCAGTCTCTTCTATTTTTTCCACGCCACATGTGATTTTGTACACCTTGATCATGTTGCCTTTATTCCAAGCTAAAGAATTTTAAGCATTCCAGTCTCTTCTATTTTTTCCACGCCACATGTGATTTTGTACACCTTGATCATGTTGCCTTTATTCCAAGCTAAAGAATTTTAAGCATTCCAGTCTCTTCTTGTACAGTAAGTGTTCGAACCTCATTATTATTTTACCTGCCTTCTTTCATACCTCTTCCAGCTTTATTATATTCTTTTTCAAATACAGTGATCAGAATGCAAACAGTATTCCAAATGCAGATGGACCGCAGATTTGTATAACGTTGGCAGTTTCATTTTTAATTGCTTTTCTAACGATTCCTAGCATGGAATTCACTTTTCACAGCTGCTGCTCACTGAGCTGACATCTACATTGAACTATCTATTCTGATCTTGAGATACCTTTCCTGGTTAGTTACAAATAGCTCAGTTCCCATCAGTGTATATTTTTTGCTCCATTGTGCACCACTTTACACTTACTTATATTGAATTGCATTTATTATTTGACTGAACATTCAACCTATTTTAAAAAAGATGGTTCTGGAGCTTTTCACCATCAATTTTGGTGGTTTATCACTCTGAATACTTTAGTGTCACCCACAGACTGGGCCAATCCACTGCTTACTACAAAACACAATGATTTATGAATAAATATAAAAGTAATAGTCTCAACAGATGTTTGAGGAACTTTACTTCTTATTCCTCCCCACTGAGAATATCACCCCTTTTTTCCTATTTTTTTGTTTACTAGTTTTTAACCAGTTAGCAGTCCCGCAAATGACAGGTCCTCTTATTCAATGATGGCTAAGTTTACTCAAGACCCTTTGCAGATAAACTCTGATAACACTTTTTGAAAATCCAAATATACAATGTGGACAGGATTGCCTCCATCCACATGTCTGGAAACATGTCTGAAAGAACATTAAAAAGCTGACGAGGAAGGGTTTACTTCCGCAGAATCCATGCTGATTTTCCTTCAGCAAAACTTATTTATTGTTGTTGTTGTTATTATTTTACCAACTTGGATGGGAAGAAGCGTGTGTGTACAAGTACCTTTTTTAAAACTGTTAAATAGATGCATCTTTTTCCAAGTTTGGGTGGGTACTTTAGAGCCAGTTTGGTCCAGTGGCTAAGGCACCAGTCTAGAAAGCAGGAGACTGAGAGTTCTAGTCCCACCTTAGGCATGAAAGCCTGTTGGGTGACTTTGGGCCAGTCACTCTCCCTCAGCCCAACTCACTTCATAGGGTTGTTGTGGTGGGGAAAATAGGAGGAGGAAGGCGTATTAGGTATGTTCGCCACCTTAAGTTATTTATAAAAATAATTAAGGCGGGATAAAAAAATCTAAAAAAAAATTGATTCCAGCTGCCTTTACATATAAAGCAGTGCATACAGAGGCACCCATGCTGTCTGAAGCAACTGCATCCATCTGGAAAAAGATATAGCTAATTTAATGCTTCAAAAATACATTCTTTATCCATTGTCTTATGCATTCCAAAATACCTCTTCTGAAGTATTTGTGCACCCCTACTTTCTAAATGCATTAGTTCTAACATAAACATATTTTAAGAGGCAAATATTTAGTCTTGCATACTGTACCATTGTACATTTTGCCAAAGTTTTAGGAACCATTAAGGTACACGCTTAGTGTACAGCACACATAGAGAATGAACTATCCCCTAGATTTCAGAACTTACCAGAATTCACCATCTTCCATCTTCAGTTGCAATTCATCCCTCTGATCGGGATCCACTTCATTCCATTCAGAAGAGCTAAAATTACAGCAAAAAGGCAATTGTGCTATTTTCCCTGTATTGCTGCACTACTTCCAATTTTAGCTGGGAACATTACTACTAAAGAACAGCAAAGGGCTGGTTTAAAGGGTTTTAGCTCAGTGACAGAATATATATTTTGTATGAAAAAACATCCCACAGTCAATCCTGGGCATTTTCAAGTAGAACTGGGAAAAATTCCTGCCCAGAGCCCCAAAGAGTAATTCAGATTGCACTAAATGGACAAGCCTCTCTACTTTCTAAAAATGTCTTGAAAATTCACAGCCACACATACAAACTGATTGTATCAAAGACCATTGGACAGGAAATAATGTAATAGGACCAAGTCATGCTCATGACTTGGATGAGTGAGTTGAGGGGACACTTACAAAGTCTGCAGATGACACAAAACTAGGAGGGCTGATTAATACTTTAGATGAAAGAGAAAAGATCCAAAAGGATCCAGTCATGCTGGAGAAGTGAGCTGAAATTAATATGATGGTATTTAACCAGAAAAAATGTAAAAGTTCTACTTCTAGGTAGGAAATACAGTATGTTCATATAGGATGGAGAAGATCAGGCTTGGCAGTAGTACATGTGAAAGGGATCTTCCAGTACTTATCGACTGTAATTTAAATGTGAGCCAGCAATGTGGTACAGCTGCTAAAAAGGCAAATGCTATCTTGGGGAACATTAACAGAAGCCAGATCATAGGAAATAATAAATAAACTCTACCCTAATCAGATCCCATTTGGGATATGGTATCCAGTTCCGGGACTGGACTGTTCATAAAGGACAGTTGGAGCAAATTCAGAGGGCTACCAAGATGGTGAAGGGTTTGGAAAACAAGCTCTGTGTGGAACAGTTAAAGGAACTGGCTAGGTTTAGCTGACATAAAAGTTGCCTGAAAGACGATATGATAGCAGTGATAATCTGAAGGGTTATCACACAGAAGGAACTGACTTACTCTTTATTGCCCCAGAGGGCTGGACCACCACCAAAAGTTAAAATTACAAGGAAGGAGGTTCAGGCTAGATATCAGGAGGCATTTCTTGACTGTACAAGCTGTCAGCCAATGTTAACAGCTGCCAAATGAAGCAGTGAGTTCTTTACTACAGACCTTCAAACATGAATTGTCATTTGTCAAAGATGCTCTAGTGGATCCTGCACTGAGCAGGGGTTGAACTAGATGTCTCTAAAGTACATTCTAACTCTATGATTCTATGATTCACCTATCGCTCCATGCTCCAGTCCACTCCACCTGACCCCAGGGATTCCTTATACGAATTAGCTCTTCTTGCCGGCCACGATACTCCACCTGTCAAATTTGAGACATTAGGCTACTTACATATGTAATTAAATCCTTGAATTGATATTTATAACTCCACAAAGAGAAACTTACCTCTTTCAATCCCGTGACTGAATAAGCATGACCCTTCACTAGTTTCTTGAAGGTAACTGCTTCCATGTCAAATGCACTTGTAATCTGAGAAAAAGGATATACCATATTGCACAATAACTTAGGTGTCTTGGCCCCTCCAGTTAGAATCAGATAGCATGAAACTAAAGACAGAGAACCAGCAGGAGCAATAAAATGTATCAGTCTGACACACAACCTTAGTACAAACTGTAGAAGAAAAAGTTACTCCCAACAACCAAGATTCAGAAACAATGTACAGTGGGGCAAAAAAGTATTTAGTCAGCCACCAATTGTGCAAGTTCTCCCACTTAAAAAGATGAGAGAGGCCTGTAATTTTCATCATAGGTATACCTCAACTATGAGAGACAAAATGGGGAAAAAAATCCAGAAAATCACATTGTCTGATTTTTAAAGAATTTATTTGCAAATCATGGTGGAAAATAAGTATTTGGTCAATATCAAAAGTTCAGCTCAATACTTTGTTATATATCCTTTGTTGGCAATGACAGAGGTCATTGTCTGATTTTTAAAGAATTTATTTGCAAATCATGGTGGAAAATAAGTATTTGGTCAATATCAAAAGTTCAGCTCAATACTTTGTTATATATCCTTTGTTGGCAATGACAGAGGTCATTGTCTGATTTTTAAAGAATTTATTTGCAAATCATGGTGGAAAATAAGTATTTGGTCAATATCAAAAGTTCAGCTCAATACTTTGTTATATATCCTTTGTTGGCAATGACAGAGGTCATTGTCTGATTTTTAAAGAATTTATTTGCAAATCATGGTGGAAAATAAGTATTTGGTCAATATCAAAAGTTCAGCTCAATACTTTGTTATATATCCTTTGTTGGCAATGACAGAGGTCATCCACCATGATTTGCAAATAAATTCTTTAAAAATCAGACAATGTGATTTTCTGGATTTTTTTCCCCATTTTGTCTCTCATAGTTGAGGTATACCTATGATGAAAATTACAGGCCTCTCTCATCTTTTTAAGTGGGAGAACTTGCACAATTGGTGGCTGACTAAATACTTTTTTGCCCCAATGTAGTTACTTAACTAAGGGCTGAGATTTCTAAATAGGCTTTTATAGAGGATATAGGGAATGGCCTTGAAGGATGGGGAAGCGCTACTACCAAACAAGTAAGGCTTGAGCCCAGGCCAAGAAAATAACTTGAGAATAGGTCTCAGACAAGCCCCTCCCTAGTTCACACAATAAGTGAGGGAGGGGGGTAGCACATGCAGACTTGCAAGATTCTGTTATTATAGCTGTTACAATAAAAGTAGTCTTGACCTATATGGCATTGGTTTCTCAGTCTGGTCTACCTAGTTGAGCTGACATCTTTCATGGTCCAAAGCAAAATATGGTATGCAAAGTTGGGCTGTTGCAGAGACTTCTTCCAGCTTTGTATTGCACTCAGGTGAGTTCCCAACATTACCCGAGCATAGCAAATTTATCCTGATTCCTACAGCCAGGCCTACTTTCAGGTAGGCCACGCACTGCCATCTCCTTCACCATTTAACCATCTTTCTCTCTACTGGAGGCAATAGTGTTCATGCAGATGGGATAATTTTTAGTTTAGTGTCTGGGTTTTTGGGAACAAAATCAGTAGTAGTGAAGCAAGCTACTTTCTTGTTACTGATGCTGGGTTTACCCTCTATATTTGCTCTAGCAAGTGCTTCAAGTTGTTTTAATTTTTCATCTGAAGATAATTCATGTTTCAGGGCCAGGACATAAGATTCTTTTTCCCAGTTATGCTCCTTAACCTTCAGAGAATGCCAATACATCATCTGTTACAATGGGTTACATGAACTATTAAATATACTAGTAGCAGCCACAGCTTAAATTTTTTTTAAAAGATTTCACTGTATTGAAATGTTAGTGAGCTTCAGAGTCAGTTTGGTGTAATGGTTAAAGTACCAGGCTAGAAATCAGGAGAGCATGAGTTCTAGTCCCGCCTTAGGCACAAAGCCAGCTGGGTGACCTTGGGCCG